GGGGGCTGGAGAGATAGCACAGCGGGTAGGGCGTTTGCCTTGCACGCGGCCGACCCGGGTTCGATTCCCAGCATCCCATATGGTCCCCTGAGCACCATCAGGAGTAACTCCTGAGTGCAGAGCCAGGAGTAACCCATGTGCATCACCAGGTGTGACCCAAAAAGAAAAAAAAAACTGTGTAATTTTCACTGCTTGTCTACTCCTGAAACTGTTTTCTGCAAGGCGAGACAAGAACCCAGTAACCCTGGGTCCCGGATGGCAGAGGCGGATCTGGAGAAAGTGACTGTCTTTCTCCTCCCCGCTTCACATGAGCCATCCCTGGGGCCCACCGACATCAGCAGAGGGCGCAGATTAATTATAAGGGACAATCACATGGATAACACCACGCCAATTGCAGCCTATAATGGTCAGGCAGCTCCACAGCGATGCCAAAGATCCAAGAACAAGTGAAGGGCCAGAGGGAAATGTGCTCAAATAGCTGGAGCACATGTTAGACGGGTGGAAGGCCTCGGTTTGAGTTTCCCAACGCTGCATGATCCTGTGAGCACTAGCCTGGAGTCATCCCTACACTCCCAGCAACTAGGAAGGGGTGAAAGAAAAAGGAATCGCTCCCTCTCCTAAGTCATCCTGATTAAAGTAAGTTAAAAAGATGCCACTAAGGGGCTGGAGCGATAGCACAGCAGGTAGGGCGTTTGACTTGCACGTGGCCAACCCAGGTTCGATTCCCAGCATCCCATAGGGTCCCCCGAGCACCACCAGGAGTAATTCCTGAGTGCATGAGCCAGGAGTAACCCCCCCATGCATGGCTGGATGTGACCCAAAAAGCAAAAAAAAAAAAAAAAAAAAAAAAAGAAATGCCACTAAGGCTAGCGAGATAGTACAGGGATTATGGCGAACATTGCATGCGGCTCACCTCAGCACCACAGGGTCCTTCCCACTCTCCACCCCAGCCCTTTGGGGTGCAGTTGTGGAGTTCCTGGAGCCCTGCCCGGTAGATGGGTACCGCCAGGCCCTCCCACTGACCTTCCGGCCAAGTTGGCTGGGAGTTGCCTCTCAGCTCCCTGACTTCTTTCGGAAGGCAAAACCCTAGGAAACAAGTTTTGTTTATTTATACTCTCTGCAATGTTCTGGCCAGAGGTGCCCAGGGGTCCCGAAAGCGACACCTGGTGCTGCTCGAGCTGGTCCCCCGTCGCTCCCCCCCAGAGCTACCTCTAGGTGTTCCCGGGTCGTGTTGGGCCGCTGGCATGTACTGCTCGAGCCGTCTCCCCGATCCAAAGTTCATGATGACAAAATAGGTTCTAGACAAAAGACAGCGAAGGCCGTAGGCCACACAGGAGTGGGGCGTGAACACTCATTTCAGAACCAAAGCAGCCTTGTGGTTTGGCGGAGTTGGCCAGCAAGTGGGAGAGCCCCGTGGACACGCCCGCCTGCCTAATGGTCTGCTCCTTAGTTGCAGCTCCGGGGGGACACTGTCCCACGCGACAGGCAGACTCCCACTGACTCCCAGAGTTGGACAGAGTCAGGACAGTAAATCAAGGGACTCAGTTCCATTCTGTGCAGGCTGATAAGCTCTCTCGCCCTCTGCTGTGGACTGATTACAAGTAAAAAAGGAAGCCTGCGCTGCCAAGTAGAGGTCTTCTTGTGGTTTTGTGTTTTGTTTTTAACGGAAACATATAATAACGCCTGGTAGGGGGCAGAGAGATCGTACCGGGGTCACAGTGCTTGCCTTGCAATGCAGCTAAGCCTCCGTTCGATGCCTGGCACTTCATGTAGTTCCTGGAGCACTTTCAGGGTAATTCCTGAGTACAGAGATGGGGAGGAATCAACAAGTATGGCTTCAGCAACCCCTAATGCCCTCCAAACAAAACCAAATCCCACTTATATTTGTTGTTTGTTTGAGAACACATCCAGCGGGTCCTGAGGACCTAATCTTGGCTCTGTGCTCCAGGGTAGCTGCTGGTGGCACTCAGGGGACCACGCTGCTAATGAACCCAGATCTGCATGCAAAGCCTGTGCTCCGACTAAAAAAAATATGTATTTTTAAAAATATCTGAGGAAATCTCCTTTTTTGTTGTTGTTGTTGCTGGGTTACTCTTGGCTCTGCACTCAGGAATTACACCTGGGCAGTGCTTGGGGGGACCCTATGGGATGCCGGGGATCAAACCCAGGTCAGCAAGGCAAATGCCCTACATGCTATACTATTGCTCTGGCCTGATCTGGGGAAATCTTCTTTATAAAAGCAGGATTTGCTGCCATAGGACCAAAGTTCTTTAGCAAACCGTGCTTTTGTTTGTTTGCTTGCTTGGTTTTTGTTTGTTTGTTTGTTTTTTGCTTTTTGGGTCACACCCAGCGATGCACAGGGGTTATTCCTGCCTTTGCACTCAGGAATTACTCCTGGCGGTGCTTGGGGGGACCATATGGGATGCTGGGAATCGAACTCCGGTCAGCTGCGTGCAAGGCGAACACCCTCCCCGCTGTGCTATCACTCCAGCCCCACAAACAGTGTTTTTAAATTTTTGTAATATGAATGTCCTGGTTGAAGGAACACGAGTCTCTCTAATGTTCCAGAGGCCCCACCACTGTCTGCTGTTCTGGGTATTTTGTTGTTGTTTTGGGGCCATCCCCACTGGTGCTTCAGTGCTTACTCCTGGCTCTGTGCTCAGGGACCATTCCTGGCGGTGCCTTGCTCCAGCCTCACTGATCCCTATTTTCTCTCCACCGACTCCCTATGTATTTGCTTTGAGGTTGGTTCCTTCTATTATTTAAATGCAACTTTATAGACAGATAGATGATAGAGAGAGAAAAAGAGCATACTTTATATATATGTATATGGATGGATGTATAGAGACTTAACTATTTATAAATCTGGATTTGTACACGTGGAGTTTTCTGAAAGCAGTTACTCAGTTCATTCGATTGTGGGGCTACACCCAGCAATGCATCGGGGGTATCCCAGCTCTTGCTCAGGAGTGACCCCGGGCAGTGTTCAGAGCACCACATGTGGTATCGGGGGTCAAAGTAGCAGCAGCCACATGTAAGACAATCACCTTCCCCCCTGAACTGCCTCTCCAGGACTGAACAATCCTTGATTCCCATCCCAGAAACGATTTGGACGAGCAATTATTGCCTCGCCTGATTCCAGGCTTCTAGCTCTCTTGAAATCCTCCTGAAGCTGCCAAGCTTCTGTTTTCAAAACCTGGCATTTTCCACTTGGGGGAAAAACGGATAGTTATTTCATTCTCACAAACGTGGGGCGAACACTGCAGGGAAAGTCACAGAAGCGGCAGGGCTGAGCCGCAGGGCCACTGCCGAGAGGCGTCAGGGTCAGAGGCCTCGCCTTCGTGGGCCAAGACCACGCGGGAAAATGGCAGTAGACCGGTGGCTGCCGACGGCCGCCACGGGCAGGGCGACAAGGACAGGTTTCGAGCTCCTGCTGCCCGAGACGTCCTGCCTCTGCAGAAATGCCACTGGTTGTTTTATTTGAGGGACACCACAACTGAGCTACACGGGTCTCCTGAATGTCACTGCAAGCTTCTGACGCTGTATTACCAAGTGGTCCTGCAGTGACTCTGTGGAAGTTTCCTAAACCCTCCGACAACGAGGGGAAGAACTTTCTAATGAAAGCCATTGGCAGGGGGCTGGAGCGATAGCACAATGGGTAGGGCGTTTGCCTTGCACGCAGCTGACCCGGGTTCGATTCCCAGCATCCCATAGGGTCCCCCGAGCAGAGCCAGGAGTAATTCCTGAGTGCATGAGCCAGGAGGGACCCCTGTGCAACGCCAGGTGTGACCCAAAAAGCAGAAAAATAAAAAAGAAAAGAAAACCATAGGCAGAGAGTTTGGGCATCCCTGATACAGCCCAAGTTCTTCCTTGCCAGATGAGAACCCTTTCAGCCGAGCTAGCAGAGCCTAATTCCAACCTCCAGGCAGGGCTAAGATGTTCACAGGCTCACATTTCCCGTGTCAAAAGCACCGACGCTGCCAAGAGACTCCTGTGGCGACTCGGGAAGGAGCCAGATTGCCACAGTCAGGCCTGGGCAGGTGAGAGGCACTTCTGCTACACAGGCCGAGGGGTCCCCCTCCCATTTCTCTTCTAGCTCTGCCAGGCTACTTTCACAGAGCTCCCAACCTTCTGGCTAATTGCTCCCAGGGCTTTCCCACAAAGACTTCCAAAACAGAGGCCAAGTCCTGCGGCTTACATGGCCCTAGCAAGGGGCTGGCTCTGTGGCAAAGATGATGACCCAGACCCGGCCCCTAGCAAGCACCCAGCACTCAGCAGATCCTCAGTAGATGCTAAATGCATTATTAAAGACTTACTGGGCACCTAGCACTCTCCAGGAGGTCATAATAAATTAGTCACTTCCTCTTAGGGACTCAGTGTTCCTGAGGAACACAGTGTTACAGTCTTAGTTCCTAAGGGCAGCACGGGCACTCGTACTTACATTTAAGATGCATTAATAGGAATGCAGCAGTAGTCACATTCCACGCGCAATGCAGTCACAGGCGACTTGTGCCCTGGACAGAACAGGCTAGAGAGCATTTGTCCTAGTAGGACATCCAGGAAAGAAAACAAATCATCCCTCACACAAAAGGAAAAGCTCCGTTTGGAATCTGGCGTCTACTGGAATGGTAAGGGCTATAACAAGAGGTGCCTTGTAAAACACTGCCTGGATCCGGTAAATTCAATCGATTTTATAACTAAGCTTAACACCCCATAATATACTAGGGAAACTTCCATTCCAATGACGGCCTCTTATGCATGAAACCCTATCATTAGCTGTGTGGTCACCCTTAGCACCCCTCCTCAAAAAAAAAAGAAACACAAAAAAGCAATGACAGTCTCTACTGCTCATTTTTATAGCTAATCATTAGGAAAAGAAGACAATGCCACATTAGAAAGTTAGTGCTTTCCCCATACTGCATATGGTCCCCGAGAACAGAGCCAGGAGTATCTCCTGAGGGCCTCTGGTTGGGGTACAAAGGTGAGGAGGATGAGGAGGGGCATGAACTCCCGAACTGCAGGATAGTGCAGAAGTGAGGGGAACCAGGTTGACTAAAGTAACTGAAGTGATAGAAACGGATTAACTTCGTATCATACTGAGGTTGCCTGTTCTATCGTAGTACAGGGTGGGAAAAAAAGGAGGAGTGGGAAAAGAAAGAGGGAAGAGAAGGAGACAGAGGAGAAAGGAAAGGAAGAGGAGAAGGAGGAGAAGGAAAAGTAGGAGACAGAATAAAAAGGAAGAGGAGGAGAAAGAGAAGGAGGAAGACGCGGAGGAGGAGGAGGAGATGGGGGGGAGAGGGGCAGGAAGAGGAGAAACGCCGTCCACTACGCAAAGGCACAGAGGTCTTCACAGGGGGACCCCCAGGGAAGACCCGCGGCCTGCCCAGGAGTGTGGGCACCGACTGTAACCTGCAGAAGTCTCGCAAAGCTCTTTATTCAGAGGAAGGCACTGGCAGGTCTTTATTTCGGAATGGCTGGCGATCATGACTGATGCCATGCAGAGAGCGAGAGTCCAGAAGCTGGAAACGCAGCTGGAGGGTGAGTCCTGGAGAAACGTGGCGAGAGAACATAGTCGGCCTGAGCGGAAACAGAGGAGGACGTGAGGGCTGGGCATCAGATGTCAAGTGGACAAGTGCAAGCTGTGGGAACAACACCAGCCCTAGGCCACTTGCCCTGGGCCACCACGGAACTGAAATAAAGGATGCGGATGGCAATCTCTAATTCTTTGCGTGTGGCTCTGGGGAGAGTCAACTATGTTTGCGCAGATATGGTGGCTGGGGCAGATTCCCAGGACCTGGCTTACGAACACGGGCCATTGATCAGAAAGCAGCTTCTGGGCCGGAGCCGTACATAGCACAGTGGGTGGGGCACGGGTCTTGCACACTGCTGACCTGGGTTCTATTCCCAGCACCCTGTACAGTCCCCTGAGCCCCCCAGGAGTGATTCCTGAGCACCAAACTGGGAGTAATCTATGAGCACTGTTGCCTGTTGCCCCTGCCCCACCCCCCTGCAAGAAGCCTCTCCCCCCCACCATAAACAAAACAAAAACGAAGACCAGAAAAAGCTGCTTCTACTGAAAAACAAGAGTTTTAATCTCTATACTATCTCTCCAGACCTTTAAAATTTTGTTTTGTATTGTTTGGAGGAGGGCTGGAGTGATAGCACAGTGGTAGGGCATTTGCCTTTCACGTGGCTAACCCAGCCAATCCCAGGTTCGATTCCTCTGCCCCTCTCGAAGAGCCAGGCAAGCTACCAAGAGTATCTTGCCCGCACGGCAAAGCCTGACAAGCTACCCGTGACGTGTTCGATATGCCAAACACAGTAACAACAAATCTCACAACGGAGACGTTACTGGGCCCGCTTGAGCGAATCGATGAACAACAGGAGGACAGAGCTACAGTGCTGCTGTTTGGGGAAGGCCATGGCTCAGGACCACACCTGGTGGTACTCAGGGGTTATTACTGGATCAGCACTGACCCTGGCAATGTTCAGGAGACCACACATGGGGCTATGGTTGACACAGCTGATGCTGTGTAAGATACCTTACTTCCTATTGTTCCAGCCAATTTTAGGGTATTTCTAATCTTACGTGAAAGTAAATATAATAAAACACTAAACCAGGCTTTAGGTTTTTGTATGAGCTTTGTTTGGGGGCATTTTTGGTGGTGCTTGGGATTTACTCCTGGCTCTGCACTCAGGGATCACTTCTGGAAGGACTTAGGACACCACAGGAGGATGCCAGGGATGGAAACTTCGTCAGCTGCAACATGCAAGATAAGCGCCCTACCCACTGTGCTATGTCTGAGGTCGGACTTAAAAGTTTTTTTTTCCTGAAGACCAGCCTCCCTGGTCACTGCTGCTCAGGGAAGCTCCTGGAGGTGCTCAGGGGACCAACCCAAGAAGTTCTGGGTATTGAACGAAGGCCCCACAAATGCATAGCATGTGCTCAGCCCACTGAACTATCTCTCAACCCTAAGGCTTTAGTTTTAAGTGTATTGACAAAAATTAATAAAACTATTTGCAAAGTATCATTTTATTTATTTATTTATTTATTTTCCTTTGCTTTTTGGGTCACACCTGGCAGTGCACAAGAATTACTCCTGGCGGTGCTCGGGGGACCCTATGGGATGCTGGGAATCGAACCTGAGTTGGCTACGTGTAAGGCAAACGCTCTACCCGCTGTGCTATCACTCCAGTCCCAGGACAGTATCATTTTAAAAATGTTTCCTCGAATTCTTGGGGGCCAGAGCGATAGTACAGCAGGTAGGACATTTGCTTTGTATGCAGATGACCCAGGTTCGATCCCTGACATCCCATATGATTCCCTGAGCACTGCCAAGAATGAATCCTGAGTGCAGAGCCAGGAGTAACCCCTAGGCATCTCCATGTGTGACTCAAAAAGACAAATATATATACATATATATGTATACACATATTTTTTCCCTTATAAGTTAAAAATGGCTATGTCAATTTAATTTCATTTCACTTATGTTACAAGGGATGGAAATCAGAACCTCATATATAGGAGATATGCAGTACCTCCAAACCACACCCTCAGCGTTCTTAGTTCAAGTAATTTCTGTGTTAGGGAGTTCCTCACAACTGTGTTTGCAGGACAAGGGTCCTGCTTGCAAAGTAATGCATGCTTGGCCATGCACCCCAGCCTTTGACATCATCTCCTCAGGTCTTATGATCTCCTCTTAAATTGCAAGGAGGTCATTTCTCTACTGGTGAGGATAAGCACTTTTCAATGTATATTAATTGTGTTTCCTCTCTCTTTCTTTTCCTTTTTTTTTTTTGGACATACCTGGCAGTGCTCAGAGCTTACTCCTGGCACTACACTTAGGGATGAGTCCTGGTGGGGCTTGGGGGACCATATGGGGTGCCAAGGATTGAGCGTGGCTTAGCCGCACGCCAGGCAAGCGCTTTCCCGGCTGTGCTACCTCTCCAGTCCCTGTGGTTTCTCTTTCATCGTTCATTTGGTTTTAATCACTTAATCACTTAACTTCCCGTTAGTCGTCGATTTGCTCGAGCGGGCGCCAGTAACGTCTCCATTTGTCCCTGTCGCGTGCTAGTGTAGCCCAATGGAATCTCTTCGCTCCGGGAACATGGAGGGCCTCAAACCGATCGTTCATGACCTTGACAAAGAAGTCTGACCATCTGGTAGGTGGGCGGCCACGCGGTCTCTTGACATCCCGTGGAATCCAATCAGTAACAGCTCTAGTCCAACGGTCGTCTTTAAATCTCATTACGTGACCAGCCCATCTGATTTTCGACACCTTGGCAAATGAGACAGCGTCCCTGATCCTTGATCGTCGACGGATGTCAGAACTCCGGATTCGTTCTCTCATTTGAGTGAAACGTGATATTCCAAGCATAGCTCTTTCTATTCTTCTTTGGGAGACCTGAATGGCATTCTCATCTTGTTTGCGTAGGGCCCAGGTCTCTGAGGCATATGTTAATGCAGGAAGAACAGTGGAATCAAAGAGATGTGCCCGGAGCCGGAGGTTCTTCGTCCTCTTAGCTATTTCTTCGACGTTCTTGAAGAACGAGCTTGCAAAGCAGTGCAGAGATGCGATCAAGGAAGACCTCAAAGAGAGAAGAGCAGAAGTACTGGTAGATGCGGCAGAAGCCGGGAAAAGTATTCGTAACGCCCGCCTGTCCTTCGCCAACTATAAGACCAAGATGACTGCCCTCCGACGTCCTGATGGATCCATCACATCCTCCAGAACGGCAATGGAGAAGATTATCCATGACTTCTACTCAAATCTCTTCGATAGCCATGTCCACTTGCCGACATACCAAATTCCACAGGATGGGTATGTCGTTCCCAACGTTCTCCCTTCCGAAATCCGACACGCCATTTCGTCAGTAAAGAAGCAAACAGCACCCGGCCCAGACAAGGTCAGACCTGAACACCTGAAGAACCTGCCGTCAGTACTCATCAATACACTGGCTCGGCTCTTCACTCGCTACCTGTCTGAATGCAAGGTTCCATCTCAATGGAAAACCAGCAGAACCGTACTACTGTTCAAGAAGGGAGACATCCATGACATTGGCAACTATCGCCCGATCTGCCTATTGTCTGTCATCTACAAGTTGTTCACTCGAGTCATCCTGAATAGGATTGGCAGAACACTAGATGAAGGACAACCATGTGAGCAAGCAGGGTTCCGCAAAGGATTCAGCACCATCGACCATATCCACACGATAACCAAACTCATTGAGGTTTCTCGGGAGTTCAAGATGCCGCTCTGCTTAACGTTCATTGATTTAAAGAAGGCCTTTGATTCTGTTGAGACAGAAGCGGTCATTGAAGCCCTAGCCAATCAGGGCATTCAAGCCCAATACATCAGGATCCTCCGTGAGCTGTATTGCGGATTCACTACCAGGATCTCACCATTCTACAAAGAAGTGATCGTTGATGTCAAGAGAGGGGTGCGGCAGGGTGATACCATTTCACCAAAACTCTTCAGTGCCACCCTCGAGAACATCATGCGACGACTGGAATGGGAAGGAATGGGAGTGAAGATAGATGGTCGGCAACTACACCACCTCCGCTTTGCTGATGACATTGTTTTAATAACACCAAACATCAGCCAAGCGGCACAAATGCTGGCCGACTTTGACCGTGAGTGTGGAAAGGTAGGACTACAGCTGAATCTTACGAAGACAATGTTTATGAGAAACAGCCTTGTTCCTGACGCCCCATTCGCTCTCAATGGAACGACCATCTCCGAATGCAACAGCTATGTGTACCTAGGTCGAGAGGTCAACATGACAAATGACCTGGCACCCGAGCTGCGCAGGAGGAAGAGAGCGGCTTGGAACGCCTTCAAGAACGTCGAAGAAATAGCTAAGAGGACGAAATAGCATTTGGTTTTAGGATTCGAAAACTCGCAGAGTGATCACAGGAAGTCTAACAGGCCTACACCCTTCATGCGGCTGCTGGCTGAAGGTGCCCAAAGTATCTCGCCCAGAACCATCGCAGTCTCAACTGAGGACCCGTAGGACTGCAGAACTGTCGCGCATTGGTCCGCTCTCCTCCCAGAGCAAGCTGCCTTTCATTATGTGCTCGATTCAATGGCGTAAAAGTGGCTGTAAGCGGGGCATTGTACGGTTCCATA